GCCTCCAGCCTTCTCCTCGCTGCAACATTCATCACCCACGCTTCACACCCATATAAGAGCGTTGGTAAAACTATACTCTCATACATTCCCCTCTTTGCCTCCAAGGACAAAGTTCTTTGTCTCCACAGACTCCTAAGTGCACCACTCACTCTTTTTCCCTCATCAATTCTATGATTCACCTCATCTTTCATAGACCCATCCGCTGACACGTCCACTCCCAAATATCTGAATACGTTCACCTCCTCCATACTCTCTCCCTCCAATCTGATACTCAATCTTTCATCACCTAATCTTTTTATCCTCATAACCTTACTCTTTCCTGTATTCACCTTTAATTTTCTTCTTTTGCACACCCTACCAAATTCATCCACCAATCTCTGCAACTTCTCTTCAGAATCTCCCAAGAGCACAGTGTCATCAGCAAAGAGCAGCTGTGACAACTCCCACTTTGTGTGTGATTCTTTATCTTTAACTCCACGCCTCTTGCCAAGACCCTCGCATTTACTTCTCTTACAACCCCATCTATAAATATATTAAACAACCACGGTGACATCACACATCCTTGTCTAAGGCCTACTTTTACTGGGAAAAAATTTCCCTCTTTCCTACATACTCTAACTTGAGCCTCACTATCCTCGTAAAAACTCTTCACTGCTTTCAGTAACCTACCTCCTACACCATACACTTGCAACATCTGCCACATTGCCCCCTATCCACCCTGTCATACGCCTTTTCCCCAAATCCATAAATGCCACAAAGACCTCTTTAGCCTTATCTAAATACTGTTCACTTACATATTTCACTGTAAACACCTGGTCCACACACCCCCTACCTTTCCTAAAGCCTCCTTGTTCATCTGCTATCCTATTCTCCGTCTTACTCTTAATTCTTTCAATTATAACTCTACCATACACTTTACCAGGTACACTCAACAGACTTATCCCCCTATAATTTTTGCACTCTCTTTTATCCCCTTTGCCTTTATACAAAGGAACTATGCATGCTCTCTGCAATCCCTAGGTACCTTACCTCTTCCATACATTTATTAAATAATTGCACCAACCACTCCAAAAACTATATCCCCTCCTGCTTTTAACATTTCTATCTTTATCCCATCAATCCCGGCTGCCTTACCCCCTTTCATTTTACCTACTGCCTCACGAACTTCCCCCCCCACTCACAACTGGCTCTTCCTCACTCCTACAAGATTTTAAATTCCTCCTTGCCCTATACACGAAATCACAGCTTCCCTATCTTCATCAACATTTAACAATTCCTCAAAATATTCCTTCCATCTTCCCAATACTCTAACTCTCCATTTAATAACTCTCCTCTCCTATTTTTAACTGACAAATCCATTTGTTCTCTAGGCTTTCTTAACTTGTTAATCTCACTCCAAAACTTTTTCTTATTTTCAACAAAATTTGTTGATAACATCTCACCCACTCTCTCATTTGCTCTCTTTTTACATTTGCTTCACACTCTCTTAACTTCTCTCTTTTTCTCCATATACTCTTCCCTCCTTGCATCACTTCTACTTTGTAAAAACTTCTCATATGCTAACTTTTTCTCCCTTACTACTCTCTTTACATCATCATTCCCCCAATCGCTCCTCTTCCCTCCGCACCCACTTTCCTGTAACCACAAACTTCTGCTGAACACTCTAACACTACATTTTTAAACCTACCCCTTACCTCTTCGACCCCATTGCCTATGCTCATTAGCCCATCTATCCTCCAATAGCTGTTTATATCTTACCCTAACTGCCTCCTCTTTTAGTTTATAAACCTTCACCTCTCTCTTCCCTGATGCTTCTATTCTCCTTGTATCCATCTACCTTTTACTCTCAGTGTAGCTACAACTAGAAAGTGATCTGATATATCTGTGGCCCCTCTATAAACATGTACTTTCCTGAAGTCTACTCAACAGTCTTTTATCTACCAATACATAATCCAACAAACTACTGTCATTTCGCCCTACATCATATCGTGTATACTTATTTATCCTCTTTTTCTTAAAATATGTATTACCTATAACTAAACCCCTTTCTATACAAAGTTCAATCAAAGGGCTCCCATTATCATTTACACCTGGCACCCCAAACTTACCTACCACACCCTCTCTAAAATTTTTCTCCTACTTTAGCATTCAAGTCCCCTACCACAATTACTCTCTCACTTGGTTCAAAGGCTCCTATACATTCACTTAACATCTCCCAAAATCTCTCTCTCTCCTCTGCATTCCTCTCTTCTCCAGGTGCATACACGCTTATTATGACCCACTTCTCGCATCCAACCTTTACTTTAATCCACATAATTCTTGAATTTACACATTCATATTCTCTTTCTCCTTCCATAACTGATCATTTAACATTACTGCTCCCCCTTCCTTTGCTCTAACTCTCTCAGATACTCCAGATTTAATCCCATTTATTTCCCCCACTGAAACTCTCCTACCCCCTTCAGCTTTGTTTCGCTTAGGGCCAGGACATCCAACTTCTTTTCATTCATAACATCAGCAATCATCTGTTTCTTGTCATTCCGCACTACATCCACGCACATTTAAGCAACCAGTTTTATAAAGTTTTTCTTCTTCTCTTTTTAGTAATTGTATACAGGAGAAGGGGTTACTAGCCATTTTCTCCCGGCATTTTAGTCGCCTCATACGACACGCATGGCTTACGGAGGAAAGATTCTTTTCCACTTCCCCATGGACAATAGAAGAAATAAAAAAGAACAAGAGCTATTTAGAAAAAGGAGAAAAACCTAGATGTATGTATATATATATATGCATGTGCGTGTCTGTGAAGTGTGACCAAAGTGTAAGTAGGAGTAGCAAGATATCCCTGTTATCCCTGTTATATATATATATATATATATTTATATATATATATATATATATATATATATATATATATATATATATGTCGTGCCGAATAGGCAGAACTTGCGATCTTGGCTTAAATAGCAACGCTCATCTTGCCATATAGGACAAGTGAAAATTTATGTATGCAATAATTTCGTCAAAATCATTCTGAACCTAACGAAAAAAATATATTTCACTGTGTTTGTTTAGTATTAAATTATTGTAAACAACTCTAAAATATATTTAGTTGGGTTAGGCTAAAATAAATTGTTCTTGTTATAATAAGGTTAGATAAGTTTTCTTAGTTCCTTTAGGTGCAAAATTATAAATTTTTACATTAACATTAATGAAAAAAATATATCTTTAAACGTATAAGAGAAAATTTAAAAAGGGCTTAATTTTAAATGAGTTCTTGCTAACTGACCAGTTTTACATATTCGGCACGACATATATATATATATATAATATATATATATATATATATATATATATATATATATATATATATATATAATGTATATATGTGTGTGTGTGTGTGTGTGTGTGTGTGTGTGTGTGTGTGTGTGTGTGTGTGTGTGTGTGTGCGCGCGCGTGTGTGTTTTATATTATAATTTCTTATATAGACATGATCATCACCATATATCAAAACACTCTCGTCTTGATAATGGTTCAGGACCGACCGAAACCTTTGTAGTAAATATTTACCACCGTCTCACGATTTCGTTTTGAACTGTCCCTCCCACGGCACAGAGTCTTTGTTTATTGGTATAAAACATGTACATAACTTTCTTCACTGCTACTACTACTACTATTACTACCACTAACCCGTGCATCGGGTATGACCTACTTCCACTGGGGAATCCCGCCTACGAGTGACTATGCCCTCGTCTGCTACCCGTTCCTTTCCACTTGACGCCAGTATATCAGCACCAGCCTTCTTGCCTGTGCTCCAGAATCTTCACAACTACGGTGCTCTACGCACCAACTTCAAGGTTGAGGGACTGATTACCTCATCTTTTGTATATAGTTCTTCTGTCTTCCAATTATGTCCTTGAATTTGTATTGATAAAGCCACTTTTTTTTTTTTTTTTTATTCGCCGGTATTCTCCCGGCCCGTGTCTTTTCCAAGTAGTGGTGACCCGGCAAGCCACTGGATGGCGAAACGTCTATAATAAAGATACCCAGATGTTGCACATGTGTCCAATTTTCCACCAGAACAGTTGTTGTTGTGTGACCTCTCACTCGTGACCTACAAATACCGCAAGTCGTTTAATTTTGCCTCTCACCCCACAAAAGAAAATTTGACTGGGAGGCTACAACAGTTTCTCCCACTATACGAATAGCCCGCACAGAGGAGAGAGACGCTTATGACGATGTTTCGGTCTGACTTGGTCCATTTACAAGTCCCACACGAAGATGAGGGAGCCAGTTTATATAGGAGAGGGGGGACAGGGACGGGGCAAAGAGAAGAAGAGAGAAGGAAGTGGAGAAGTAACAGTGGGAGAAGAGGTAGAAGTAATGCCGATAATGGAAGCAGTAGTGCTACTAATATGAAGAGGCGCCCCTCCCCTTTAAAATCTTTTTCCTCACTTGGTTTTCTCCAGTGGTTCCATAAAAAAAAAACAAGCGAAGAATTTAAATAGGTTGAATCCCAGAGGATGGGATCGACCCTCTCCATCCCTGCTTCCCCAAGAGTCTTAGTATTGGTGTGGGCCGCGTGCTAACTATGTCCTCCCCACAGCCTCGCTTCGCCTACACTAGGCAAGCTTTATCGTCCATAAATTCATGCGTTCCGCGTCTTGCAGTGTTCCCATGCTTGTTCCACAAGCTGACCTGGCACCATTCACCTTTTCCTCCCCTGTGCCTCCTCCTTTCTCCCTTTCCTTTATTTTGATCTGCCTCTTCCTGTAGCCTCTTCTCCTCTGCCTTATCGCAGTCTTATTTCCTTCTCTCTTTCTCATATCTCGATTTATCTTTCTAGAGGAAAGGGAGAGAGAAGAGAGAGAAAGAGAAAAAGAGAGAGAAGAGTTGTTGAAGGTGTGGTGCCAGATCTGGAGGTCTCTGGCACCCTCGTGGCATCCCCGGTCGGGTCGGTAACGCTGTCCTCTGCCAGATCAGCTGTCGGCCGGCACCCGCAAACGTTTGTTCCGGCACAAACGTTTTCTTGCACACCGTTGTTCTCGTGGTGCGAGCGTGCGGGCGCGCCTGGCCACTCTACTCGTCCTTGGGATATAAGCCAGTACATACAAGGCTTCGGTGCTCTTAAAAAATATATATATATACATATATTCATTGCTTTTTCAGGTGTGACCATTGCACAAAATGCTCTCACACGCTGACTAGAATTTCACAGAATTAGAGAATTTCTAACTGTCCTTCACACATTTTGCAGTAAGTCTCCCTGGTCATAAGTTGATGCAATTTTGACTTCCTTTGCAGAATGAACTAAAGGTGTTGGAAAATATTTCTATAAAACGGTGGAGGAGAATATACTCGGCCTGGTATAACCGCCCAGGATATACGCAATATAATCCCCAGCATCAGAGGTAAGTGTGAAGACTTTGTGTTAACTTATGACCAATTAAGTATTCACGGAATTTGATTACAGCGTCCATCGAAGGGCGAAACGGAGGATTGAGCCTTCAGCAATGCTTTCGCTGAAATTCCCTCACGGGTTTAGTGCTTCACTTGTACACAGTAACATTAATACTTATAATAATCTTCCAAGGAATGGTTTGAGAGAAACGTCCTCATGCTGAGGTGAGGATGCTGAGGCTAGGTTACGGACGTCTGAAACAATACGCTCGTTATCTGAGGTGTGAAGAGGGGATTTTGAAGTGACTTTAATTGTGAGAAAAACCCGTGTAATGACGACATACAAAAAAAAAAAAATCTATTCCAAAAAGTAGGCAGTGAAAGCCAGTTTTATGGAGTCTCTCACAAAACACGAAGGCCAGACACTTCTCGGATCAGCTGAAGGGAATTCCGGCTTATAAACCCATCCTGTAAACCAGATAGTTTGCCGAGTAAAATGGCATTCAGATGCAGTGAATGTTTTTATTAACCAAGGGAAAAAAAGTGTCGCCCACGCAGTGGGCTTGATCAAGTCAGCTGACTTGATGAAGAAGAGAAATGAGGATCAAGAACTGTATTCTTCAGAGGAAATTTCTCCTCACCGGAGCTTTAGTCAAACGATGACTTTAGTCAGTGGAACATTTTTTTCGTTTTCTGGGATGATAGGGCTTACATCTTTCGCTGACTTTTCTGTCCACCAAGATTTTTTTTTTAATATAACATCACGAGGTGCGTCTCGAAAGCAATAGACAATATCCATATCCATAAATATTTTTGTTAATGGTGTCCATGGCATATCGGTGCCATTAACTCCGCCCCGTTGGTATTTATGTGGAATTTCAGTTCAAGACTTGATAAGGCTTTACACGAAGCGAAAAGTTGCCTCTGATAAAGATTTTTCAGAAACGTGTGCCGTTTCTACGTTATTATCGGCAGTACAATATTTAGACCCATTCAGAATATTTCCTGCCACGAAATATCCACCACAGTTTATACTGTGAAGTTATTACTTATTATGTTATCAGTCATCATTATGTTATCAATCATTACGTTATCAATTATTACGTTATCAATCATTACGTTATCAATCATTACGTTATCAATCATTACGTTATCAATCATAATTACGTTACCAATCATCATTACGTTATCCGGTCACCATTTCATTATCAGTCATCAGTGTTAACAAATAACCCAAGATAACTAGATTGGACACGTTCTACTGCCTTCAAGAACCGTTTTTTCTCTGATAGGGTAGACCAAAAAACCAGCAATTAGTCTACAGTAGGTCTCATGACCCAATAAAATGTTCCACTGATTGAGTACAAATCTATTTTTTAACGGAGATGAGTTTACAGGCAAAGAGCTGTTAACTGCGTCAGCTAATAGTATACCCCATCTCTAAGGTATACTTTAACCCATTCCCATTCTATTGCTTGTTGCATATGGGTTAATTGCTGAATACAGTTAATATGGGTTGAAATTATTCCATTCTGGGTTTCTGGTACAAAACACGTACTGCAGTGACTCGCTAGAGGGGAGAGATGTCGAAAATTTGTAAGGGAGCTGAAGTACGATGAAGTAGACGTGTTAGGTTAAGTAAGGTTAAGTTAGGTTAGGTAAGGTTAAGTTAGGTTAGGTTAGGTTAGGTTAGGTTAGGTTAGGTTAGGTTAGGTTAGGTTAAGTTAAATTAGGTTAGGTTAAATTAGGTTAGGTTAAATTAGGTTAGGTTAGGTTAGGTTAGGTAAGGTTCGTCAGGAAACAGGACAAGTGTTTCCTGACGCGGGTCTTGGTCATGTGATGACGCGCTGCTGGAGCTTCTGGTCATCTAGCCGAGGCCTTTCGCTGACTTACCGGTCCACCCCTTTAAAACTTATGGTTATGATTATAGCCAGCAGACGAGTGACTAGAAAGATATACACAGGGCAAGGAGATCTTAATTACTACAACGTTTCCTCTCGTGTAGGCAAAACGTTAGAGTAAACAGAGATTCCCTTTCGCTGTATGTGTCCTTTTAAACAAAAAACGGAGAAAAGTGCACACTTGCTTTTATTGTCACGAAGATTCGCCCAGTTTAGAGCTTCATTTGTCTAAACATACACGTAATAAAGCTCAGTCAGTAGCCTATGGTCGTTTAAAATAAACTTTTATCCGGAATTGGGTCTTCACACTCAACTTGTTGCCCGGTCACTACTGTAGGTTGGTCGGTTAATGGGGTTTAAAGCTGGTCAACTACACAAAGGGTCATTAAAGGCCTCATGTAACCTTCTAGCCACCAAACAAGAATACTTTAATCCCTAAAATAGGAGTAAACTCGCAGCATATACACGCTGAGAGGAACACACCCCAGGGTGTTGCAAGGCCTCGTCTCAGACCGAGCCGCGGGGGCGTTGACCCCTAAAACCCTCTCCAGGAATATTTCTTATACAACACGGTATATTCCTCTTACTCATTTGTGGCAGTCTTCATGTTCGGAGTCTTCCTAGCTTCCGCAAAAGTTTAATAGCTGTTCCTGTCAGTTTCCTCTGACAGCAAGGGGTTGGGTTCTCTGAGGTTCACTAAGAGTTGGAAGGGAAGCATCGATTCTGGTGTAATAAGGGATTTACACCGAGGGGTATATTTCTCTCAGAGTGTCTTTGTATATGCTGAGAGTGCATTTTATTCCCCGGTTATGTGCAGTCTTAATGACCCTGAAGTAGTCGATTGGCTTTAAACCTCATCAACCAAGCTAGTGTGTGTCTCTCTCTCGTGAATAGCAGACTGTGGATCGAGCCTCCAGCCCGTCCTGCGCTGAATTCTCCATATACTGTATGCACAATATTTATCCCAGGCGAGAGTCGCTATTATTTTTTTTTGCTAGTAGTCTGTCCGAGTGGCACTTGTGACACCTCAGCCTCAAGCTGTAAAAGACGTAACTTTGGCAATTAGATCGTTCAGTTTAATCCGAAAGACCGTTCGTTGATTTCTGTCCGATCTTACAGCATACTACGTTGAACGTTATTCATACATATCTAGTTTCTTTTAATGAAATGCAACAGTCGGCTTACGTCTGTCAGTAAAACTTAATATTAGGAGTTTCTAAGCATTTTACGATTGCAGACCCACAATGGATTGCCAAATATGAACTGATACCCTATTCATCAGACTGTGGAAATCATTATCATCATTACCAGTTCTATTAGGTATCAGTAAAACCAAGTTATTGGTTTTACTTGACTTATGGACAGCAACGGTTCAGCTAAAAGAAAATTGCAATGATTTTATCATATTTGTTGAAAAACGACAAATTGTTCAGAGATCGAGTCCCATACCCCAATTATTTGGTTCTTATACCCTCTATTATTTAGTTTCCATACCAGCGTTATTTGGTTTCCATACCCCCATTATCTTGTTTCCATACCCCCATTATTTAGTTCCCACAGTCCCATTATTTGGTTCCCATACCCCATGAAAGCAAAAGACTCGGCAGACGGTGCAACATACTCCCCCCCCCCCCCCAGGTAAAAGCAGCGCTGCCGTGAGAACACTAAGAGATAGCACAATATGTGTCAGGGCCCCAAGACTGTTCAACTGCCTTCTAGCATTCATAAGGGGGATTACCAAATAGACCCCGAGGGGTATGGATACCCCCCGGTATCCGTGCGTCGGTATCCCCTCGCACGCTCAATAAAAACAGTTGGAGAATGAGTTGACATATACGTGAAAAATCCCACAAAATGGACTGGTTCACTGCTAGATATATTATGTCTACAGACTGATAAATGGCAGCCACTCAGTGTGGAAGACAGCACTTTTTTGTTACTGTAAAATGGCTTATTATGTTTTCATAGATCATAGATAAAAAAAAGGGGACAAGAGCTAGACTTGGTCTCGGGTGGGATGCGTCTCGTGACAATGAGAGTTGGGTCGCAGCTGGTGTCCTCTGTAAGTTATAAGCATTACAGTGTGTGGCGTGGCTGGAGAGTGTCTTAAGAGTGTGTGTTCCATACCTTGGTCAGTAATGACTGTGACCTGACACTTGATATACCGCCAGTCAGAATGTCGAAACACACATACATTCTCTCTCTCTCTCTCTCTCTCTCTATATATATATATATATATATATATAATATATATATAAGGGAGAGAGAGAGAGAGAGAGAGAGAGAGAGAGAGGAACCACTTCCAGGACTCAAGTCCAGCTACCTGTTTTCCAATCTGCTCTCACTCCAATAGCACATGGAATCCGTAAAGCTACATGTTTCCACTTCTCGATCTCACTTGCTTACACGCGCCTGCTGGATGCTCATGCACCTACCACTTAAAACCTCATTCACACCCTCCCTTCATCCTTCTCTGAACGGAATGGTGGTTGACTGTCAACGTTTTGCTCTGCACCCGTAGGTCTCAGTCCTCCCCTGTTGGCATGATGCAACAAAAAGTGTACTCAAAATACACAGGTGCCAGACACTGCCTGACAGGTGCCAGACACTACCTGACAGGTGCCAGACACTGCCTGGCAGTTGGCAGAAACTGCCTGACAGGTGCCAGACACTGCCTGACAGGTGCCAGACACTGCCTGACAGGTGCCAGACACTGCCTGACAGGTGCAGACACTGCCTGACAGGTGCCAGACACTGCCTGACAGGTGGCAGACACTGCCTGACAGGTGGCAGACACTGCCTGACAGGTGGCAGATACTGCCTGACAGGTGGCAGATACTGCCTGACAGGTAGTAGACACTGTCTGACAGGTGGCAGACACTGCCTGACAGGTGGCAGACACTGCCTGACAGGTGGCAGAAACTGCCTGACAGGTGGCAGACACTGCCTGACAGGTGGCAGACACTGCCTGGCAGGTGGCAGACACTGCCTGCAGGTGGCAGAACTGCTCTGACAGGTGCAGACACTGCCTGGCAGGTGCAGACGCTGCCTGACAGGGGGCAGACACTGCCTGACAGGTCCCAGACACTGCCTGACAGGTGGCAGATACT